GCTGGGGGGTGAGGGTGCGGGGCTGCGGGAGCCGGGATGCAAAGATACAGGCTGCGGGAGCTGGGATGTGAGGGTGCGGGGCTGCGGGGTGCAGGCTGCCAGGGTAGAGAGGGCTGTGGGATGCAAGCTGTAAGAGTACGGGGCTGTGGGAGGCAGGGCTGTAAGGGTACGGGGTGCAGGATGCAGGCTGCCAGGAAGGGTAAGGGGCTGCAGGATGTAGGCTGTAAGGGTGCAGGGTTGCAGGGCTGCAGGATGCAAGCTGTGAGGGTACGCGGCTGCGGGAAGCAGGGCTGCGGGATGAAGGCTGTGAGCTGCAAGAATACGGCACAGCAGATGTGAGGATGCCGAGATGTGGGCTGCAGGCTGCCAGGATACGGGGCTGTGGGAAGCAAGGCAGCAGGGCTGCAGGATGTGGGCTGCAAGGATTTGGGGCTGTGGGATGTGGGCGACAAGGACGCAAGGCTGTGCTCTGCCAGGCTGTAGCTTGCGAGGGTACAGGGCTGTAGGATGCGTGCTGCAAGGATACAAGGCTGCAGGATGCAGCGCTGCAGCCTGCAAGGACATGGGACTGCAGGCTGCAGGGCTGCGGGGTGCAAGCTGCAAGGATACAGGGTAGTGGGATGCGGGAATATAGGGTTGTGGGGTGCAGGGCTATGGGGCTTGGGGATCCGGGGCTGTGGGACGTGGAGATACAGGGCTGCAGGATGGGGGGTTGAGGGCTGCAGGGACACAGGGCTGCGGGCATGCGGGATACAGGGATACAAGGCTGCAGAATGTGGGATACGGGACTGCAGGATACAGGACATGGGATATGGGGCTGCAGGATGCAGGATGTGGGAATACGGGAAGCGGGATATGGGTAGACAGGGCTGCAGGATGCGGGAACACGGGAAGCAGGATATGGGCAGACAGGGCTGCAGGATGCGGGATACAGGGCTGCAGGGTGCAGAGATAAGGGATTCAGGATATGGGGCTGCAGGATGCGGCGTTTGGGGACAGCGGATTTGGGATGCAGGCTGCGGGACGCAGGATGCGGGACGCAGAGGTGCGGGCGTGCGGGATGCAGGGAAGCGGTACCCTGGGAGCAGGGCTGTGCCGAGGGGGCAGCAGGCGACAGCGAGGGGCAGCCCAGCAGAGCCCCCCCCCCAGCCCGGGCAGCTGCCCGGGACCCTGCCCTTGCGGAGAGGTCGGTCCTTCGCCTCCCCGGGGCACTGCATCGCCCTTTCTCGCTGCTCCGCTCCGAAACGCTGGGCACAACCTGCTGTCTGTTGCCGGGGGCAGAGACACAGCCCTGCTGGGACATCGGTCCCGTTTCCCAGCCTTTCCTCGTGCAAGCACTGGGACCCAGGCTAAGCACTGAAACGGCCAAGGGAGCCCTCCCCACGCCCAAACTGCCCCATCCCCGCTGCCCCCGCGCCCTGGCCGGCCAGTCCGCCCTGCTGCCGCCGGGAAGCCGGGCCGGTTTCACAGAGCCTCGCTTTCCCCTTCCAGGCCAGTCGTGGAAAGCGCTGAGCGCCAGCGACAAGCGTCCCTTCGTGGAAGAGGCAGAGAGGCTGCGAATCCAGCACCTCCAGGATCACCCCAACTACAAGTACCGCCCAAGGAGAAAGAAGCAAGCCAAGAAAATCAAGAGGATGGAACCCAATATCCTCCTCCATAACCTTTCCCAGCCTTGCAGTGACAACTTCAGCATGAGTCACCATGGCGGCAGCCAGCCGGGCCACCCCCAGCCTCCCCCACTTAACCACTTCAGAGAACTCCACTCCATGGGGTCGGATATTGAAAACTATGGCTTTCCAACTCCCCAGATGTCTCCCTTGGATGTCTTGGAACAGACCGAGCCAGCGTTTTTCCCTCCGCACATGCAGGATGACTGCAACATGATGCCCTTTCGTGGCTACCACCACCATCACCAGATGGAGTTTCCCCAGGAGAAGTGCATCGGGCGGGACGTGGCGGTGCCCTATGCGCAGACCCCCTCGCATTTGGCCGATGCTATGAGGACTCCCCACCCATCCAGCATATACTACAACCAGATGTGCTCGGGAACTCAGAACGGGCTTTCGGCCCACCTGGGCCAGCTCTCGCCCCCTCCCGAAGCCCACCACATGGAGAGCGTGGATCACTTGAACCAAACCGAGCTCTGGACAGACGTCGACCGCAATGAGTTCGACCAGTATTTGAACATGAGCAGGACTCGTCCTGAAACCTCAGGACTCCCTTACCATGTCTCCCTGTCCAAAGTGACTCCTAGAAGTATCTCCTGCGAGGAGAGCAGCTTGATATCTGCCTTGTCCGATGCCAGCAGCGCTGTTTACTATAGCCCGTGCATCACAGGTTAGGTCTGCCCCCGTCCAACGCGTTCACCCGGGAGAGCCCCAGAGCCCGCAGCGCAGGCTCTCCTCTAAAAAAGAAAAGCCGTCTTCCTTTAACCACGAGCGCCATAATATTTAGAGTATCTCATTAAATGCATCGCTTTCTTTTTTTTTTTTAAAAAAAAAAACATGCTGAAGTCACTGATATGCCGTATAACTATATAACACAGATAGATGCCTTTCCAAAGCCGAGGTTAACATACGCACTAGCCTGCCTACCGCCCTCTCCCTGCCACCCTGCGCGTCCGGAAACCGCGCAAAGCTCCGCGCCGGCGGCCCGACCAGGTAGTTCGACCAGCTCGGGGGGATTTTTTAGGCAAACGACAGCGAATCCTGCCCAAAAACCGACGACAAACAGGACGAGCCAAAACAGCCTGCCCGCGTACTTAACCGCAGGGCAGACGAACTTGCGTGGGGAAAGCTTCAGGAGCGCTTTGCAGGGATGGTTAAAGATTCGGTGCCTATTAGTGGGGGTCTTTAGGACAGTTTTTACTGTATTATCAGCAATATATTTTAATTGGGCAACAAAACTATATTTTTACTAAGCATTTTTATATATAAAATGATATTTAATGTCTTTGGGGGGGGTTTTTTATTAGACTTTTTAAAAATAAATCAAGGGATATCCATGAGATCTAAAGCATTTATGTAGCAAAGCTGGATTTAAAACAAAAATAAAGGAAAAAGGAGATATTTTGTGAAAAGGGAATTGCAATGTACATATTGTGGAACAATTGACTGGAATTTTGTACAAAAGAAAAATATGACTGCAAACACTTTTATTGTCTAGAGCTGTATGGAGAGCAAACTGTTTTATACTGGTTAATTATTAAAACATCTTCATATAATTGTTCCCATCTTGTGTGCTTGTTGTGTGAACACATATTTTCCGCAAATACATGTTGTCCCAACCATTTCCAGATTGCTGTATCCGTTGATTAATGTTTTGGAAACCTGGCAAATGTATTAATTTGGAGCCCGCCGCCGCCGCCTGCCCGCGGGCCGGGCGCAGCCCTCC